CGTGGACACTCCCACAGGACAAGATATGCTAATGATGCACTAGCCAATCACAGCGTCCAAATAGTGTTTATAATGACGTCGTTTTGAGAGGACTACAACCACTTCGATTGATATCCATCAAGAGAACATCTCTGCCAGACTTTTTCAACAACAGCGCTATTATTATTGACTGTTCGACACTACTGATTATCAAGCACTTTCAAGTTTTATATATCTCAGCACTATAGTTCATTAATTAAGCACTTTCAAGTTTTATATATCTCAACATTATAGTTCATTAATTAAGCACTTTCAAGTTTTATATATCATACCAGTTCAGTTAAGCACCTTCAAGTTATATAAGGCATATTTATTTATTTATTTTTGTCGTTATACCGAACAGCACTAATTTATTTAAATTTCGACCATACTTTTAAATTGAAATAGAAACACATCATTGTATATAATTAAGGTAGCGAGACTATTATTTGTGTTGAAAATTACGATTTTCACATTTATTTATTAATTGATGAAATGCACTATAAACTTTCATGTGATAAAGTCAACATAACATAGAATGTCATGTAAGTTGGTTAAAATGTAGATTTTCTGAAGGGAAGCAAGGCAGCCTCAGTAGTGTTTTCCAAAATCAACAACACAGGTTTAATCTGTGTGCCTATAAATTCCAAAGATAAACTCAAGACAAAGCAATGTTAGGATGTGTTATCAGTAGCTATCTGACACACAATGAGTGTTCCCAAACATTTGAGTGGTTTTTCTCCGCCCCTGTTTGTTTCACAGATTAGTCATTTGCATATGAATGTGTCAGACACAAGGTCATACAGCCACTGAAAAAAATCATTGATTTTGGTGTTTTCATATGCCGAATTTATCCAATTATAGCTATCCCATTCCTTTATTTTTTTGGTTTAGCCTTACACATTTGGATGTCCCTACACATGTTAAAACAGACCTTGATGGGAAAACAAATTGATTGTGCCGATAAACAAGTTTGAAAATCTTTGCTGTTACTTCATGGACGTTTTCTAGGAGTTTATGTTTTTCAAAATACAAGGTCTTTAACAAAAAATAACGTATACTTATTGTCGTCGGATTAACACCAAATTTTCACAGCTTTAAGGTGACAGTGAGAGGAACTTGAATGTGTCCAGACAAACTATTTCATCGATTATTTACCAACGAGTTGTGGTTTGAGTTGGGGGCAATGCTACTAAAACAGTGATTTTTTAAAACGCGTTGCTTGAATAAAACTGACCAGACACATTCAATTTACCAGACTATTGAACAACTAGGAAAAGTGAAAAAAATACTTCTTATCGCCAGCATAAATGCGTAATTATTTTTTTTACAGAAAAAGTAATTTTTCACCTTTGATTGAGTAACGCGTCGTAGAATGCAGATACCGGCATGCAAAATACACTTGTGAAAAGCTTGAAGTCTGGCGATTCTAAAAATATATACTTTCCCGGGTCTATTTGTAGTCATTTAGTCACAATCAGAAGATGAAAACAAGTATGCAAATAATAGTCCCGCTACCTTAATATAGTATTAGGGCCAGAATTACACTAATTTATTTAAATTTCGACCATACTTTTAAATTGAAATAGAAACACAACATTGTATATAATTAATATAGTATTAGGGCCAGAATTACACTCATTTATTTAAATTTCAACCATACTTTTAAATTGAAATAGAAACACATCATTGTATATAATTAATATAGTATTAGGGCCAGAATTAGACTAATTTATTTTAAATTTCGACCATACTTTTAAATTGAAATAGAAACACAACATTGTATATAATTAATATAGTATTAGGGCCAGAATTACACTAATTTATTTAAATTTCGACCATACTTTTAAATTGAAATAGAAACACAACATTGTATATAATTACTATAGTATTAGGGCCAGAATTACACTAATTTATTTTAAATTTCGACCATACTTTTAAATTGAAATAGAAACACAACATTGTA